GTGACGCAATTGTTCAGATTGAGCTTAATGGATCCTGCCGAAACAGCCCATCTGCGAGGCACTCGATCGTCTGGTGGTTGCCAACAACGCGGGAGGCATGATCTCGAGCTGAGTGTCGCTTTGTTGCAACAGTTGTAGACAAGCTGAACATTGCTTTCAAGTTTGAAAGCTTATGTGTCATTGACAAGGCATTCATAAGACACGATACCGACGGCCCCCTCAACCTGGATCGATTGCTGGCTGTACCAGGACCTAGGAACAACGAGATGTATCCGGAACGTCATCCGGGGATCCGTACTCCTCCTGACAACGAAGCTGGCTGTCGATCACAGGTGCAGAGAAACTACACTGCAACAGGGAACAGCGCTGCGGTCGTGCTTCACAGCCAGCATTTGAAACGGCGGGACGCGTAGCCGCACCGTCAGCCACGACTAACATGCGCAAACAAACAATACCATCCGCCCACAACGTTTCCATAACCGGTCAATTGCCTTTCGGCTTGCTGCCAACTTCTCCAGCCGGGGGGCTAGACAATCGTGGCAGTTTTGGAGCTGAGATTCACTGTCGCAAAGCAGAAGGCGATGTCAAGCTTGATCCAGGCACCACAATGTAAGAGTTTGTGCACCCTTGGGAAGGAGGCAGACGGAAAAGAGGCAGGCCGGCGGACGGGCCATGGTTGTCGAATTCGACCCCCGAGCGGTTTACAGTCGCATGCCGCCGTCACATCGGCGGACAACGGAGTCTTCCGCGGGTGCCGAACCCCCCCCCCAGTCGAAAGCGAGATGGCAGAAGAGTGATTCAAGGTCCAGAGACAACGGGCGTCTGCGAGATTGTAAGCGGTGACTCGAGGAAAAAGGCTGGAGAGATATGATCGATTAAAATTGGCAGAACGAGGCTGTGATCTGGTGCCGAGCCCTCGTGTAGTAGAATTGGGCTCGGATATTACTGACGATCAGCTTTCCAACATACGTCTAGGCAGTGCCACGCAGAGTTGATGCACGGGATGTTCGCAGCACGGCGGTTGATGAAGTCGACGACATTGGTGGGCATGTATATCAACCGCTAGCTCCCTGCCAGGCTTATCCGTATTTGAGGGCCCGTCGAAAACGGTGCGGATCAGAAACTCGACACTTCTTCCAACCTTCTCGAAGCCAGAGCCCTGTGGATTAGTGTCTGAGCCGTTGGATTCGGGGATTGGTTCAGGGCAGGCGCATGTGGCAACACCCCTGAAATTCTAGCTAGCCTGTTCCATATAGCTAGAGGCCACCGGCGCGCTGTTCTGAGTTAGCACCATCCAATTCAGTTGGGTTGATCGATTTGATGGTTCTCGATATTTGAGCGAGCGACATTTCGCGATGGGTAGACTGTGGGAACACCATTCGTTTGAAGCTTGTCACGTCGTGCCGTACCGAGCTGGTTCGGCATGCCGCTCAAGCAACCGGCGCGGCGGCTGCACCATCATCGCCGTACGTGTGCCGACACAGACAACACGTAGGGTCGGGGTAAGGATGATACATCATTGTGGACTGATCCCATCGGAGCGAAATGACGCCTCGCCTAAGTCGGCAAGTCAGGGTTTGGTTGTGTGGAGCTCTTTTAACGTTCCTCTTCTGCAACACAACTGGTCCAGGGAGCTGTCGACCACTCCAAACAGCGAGTGCTGTGCCAATGTTCCCCATTGGAGAATGGAGATGTACCCCGAGAGGCAAAAAATGGCGATTGCAAGAAATCGAGAGCTTGGATGCTGAAGCTCTTGCTCCCCGGGACCGTTGGAAGAGTGAGCTGGTTACGGAAAGCTAGTTGGGCGTTTCCACGTGGAAGACAAGGAGATGCCAACCAGCGACCGGCGCGGTGTGGCACGCAGTTTGCCCATTTAGGACTCTTTCTGATACTTGTACTATGCAGTAAGCAGCGAAATCACAGCTCACCTCAATGATAACAGGTATTGAACACGAGCCAAGGGTACAAGGTCGTCATGTAGGCAGTGCGTAAGGCGCAGCGTAGGACGACGGCAGAGAGAGAGAGAGAAGGAGTTGCAAAGATGGAAGGCTGCCTCATCTCTGTGTCCCACACCCACTTGTTCGATTTGGCGGTCGTTCCTCATGGGCCAAGTCGCCGCCAATGGCCACTTGTGTTCGCGGCCTGCTCGGCGAGTGGAGGTCGATGATGTGTGTCGGCGTAGCTTCAGGTAAGGTGTCTGGAGTATGGTAAAGCACGAGGTGTGCTACCTGCCAGCTCTAACAGAACTGGGGCCAGTATTGGCGATCCAGCAATGTACACAGTACGGTGCGGTCCAATTACCGTAGAGACGGTACCGAGCAAGCCTGAAGAAGACCTGGTCGTCAACACTTGTCCTCTGGCCGAATGTTGACTGCTGTTCACATGTGTGCAGCCGGAGACGTTGTTCCCACTCCCAAACAAGAATGCCTTCGTAGTGTCCAAGTGTGTGTGTGACAGAGGCGCATACGGCGCCCTCCCTGGCGAGTGATGGAGGTCGACACACGGCTGGGACACGCTGTGCCGCTTGTAGTTGCAGTACCCGATACCTTGGACTTTTGAGGGGGACGTGAGTGACGGGTTCGTGCCGGAGAGACGAGGTGAACCGGAACAGGAGGGCCCTGCTGATAGGGAAGACCCAGGCAGCCGGCGACGGCGGCAAGGAGCCTATATGCAACAGAGCGTGGCTATGTCCAGGGGTTCCCTCCCGAGGTGAAAGTCATCGGAGAGTGGACGCGTCGTGCTCATTAGAGCGTGGCCGTCCGCTGTAATGTGACATACGAAGAGCGAGATGCGTCGGTTTTTAAGCCCTGCTCTGCAAGCCAGTAGCATGGCAATTATGCCATTGTTGGGGGCCAACGAGTGAATTCCCATATCTTTGTGTTTGCCAGGCCCCTTGGCGGATGCCTGCTTATGATTCATGACCGAATACAGATACACAGACAAGCCGCCGGGTTTGAAGTCTGGTTGTCAGGACCGCGAAGAGTCCCGTCCTGCAATGATACCAACACGAGACGGCCTAGCGGTATGACGGGTGGACTTTTCAGAAGCACATCCCGTTCTTTAGCATCGAATCTTGCCCCGTTTTTTCTAGCTCAAGCGACAACGGCAAGAGTCTCTTGGCGCGCTGATGTGGCTTCGGCGGCCACGCTTGCTGCCCTCTCCGAATGTGCGCTTGCATCTCTAGTAGCAGTCCCATCAGCACACATGGCAGTCGGGACATCCAACTTGTAAGGTTACTTACCTAGCAGGAGAGGAGAGAAATTGGCTGAACGCAGGTCAGACTGCTCAGGCACGGGCGCAGTCTCCGGCACAGCACTGACGTTGTCCCAAGAGGACTAAGGTAAGGCAAGATGAGCCAACAGACATGCTTCGGTACCTCGGGACCGCTGCTGCAGCAAGACAAGAAATTGACTTGACACGGCAGCTGACAATTCAACATGTTTCGTGGTGCGCCAGGTAAGGTCTACTCGAGAGCATCCAAGAGAAAAACGGAAGGCTCTGCAATGGCGAGGCGAGCAATTGAATTGTTCCGGTAGAGGGGGAAGAGAACAATCCATCCAGGCAGCACTGATTCATCATGTATGCAAGCTATGGCCATAGACAGAGCTGATTGACCGCATACATTACATTCAACGAGCAGGTGAAAGCAAGTTGGAACAAGGCAGCTGAGTTACTTACCGCATGTACCGAATACTGTCTGGATATTCATCCAAGCAGCACCGAGGCCGCCAACCTCGTTTGGTAGAGCTCTTGATCCCCTATTTAGCTTACTGCCTTCAGTCAGTCTTGGTTTACTTTCCTCGGTTCACTTATTGAGAGAGACCGAAAGAGAGATTGACGCCCAACTGGCCGCCATGACATTTTCCTGTCCAGCTTCAGGCCTCAGAGAAATGAAGGAGACAGATAAACAGCGGGCAATTATTCAGCTTCCCGGTCGCAGTTGCGTCCGAATACCCACCAGCCAGCCTCATGTCAAGTACCTATCTTTCTAGCTACCCAAACCCACGTTTCCTACTGTGTGCACGCGTTGCCGTCTGCCAATTGTTTCAATGAAAGAGACCCCCATTGTACTTTGCCTGGGCTCTAACGTCAGAGGTAGGTGTCTTGTCTATTTTACTGGTGCATTCAGAGGTCCCCTGCCCACTGCGCCGACTAGACAGCAAAGGTGCTCACTCACTGAGTGGATGGACGTTGAGAGAGTTGCAATTCCCAGTTCCAGGGCGCGCGCGCGTGGCAGGGAAGCGGGACGTCCCTGAAGGTTCGTAGTTAAGTACCTGTCTTGGGTGGTTGTTAACCTTAGTCCCGGGAGGTGAGGTACCTAGAGGTACTGGACACTCTCGGTTGGCTGTGGTCCTAAAAATGACCGCGGCGACTCCCACCACCAGCTCCTCCATAGGACCACCTGCACCACAGAGACCAACGTGAGGAAGGCGGCACCCGGACACGGTACGCTAAAAGTGTACAGCGGATTCTATGAGGTGCCCGGTAGGCGCAGAGGTACCTTGACCTGACCGACGGAGCAGGTTCCCACGTCCCACGCCAACACCAATGCCAATTTTCTTCTCCTGTGTCGACTTCTTGTTCTCTGCTCTCCCATCACCTTTCCCTCTCTTTTCGCCTCCTCCTCCTTCCCACCTACCGATCCTCCCACCTCTTCCCCGAGCTGCGAGGAAAAAAGGTACGACGACACGAGGACTGGTCAATTCTGTCCTCGTCTCCTTTTCTCCGTTGCTTGCTTGTAGCCGCAACTCCCGCCTCACTTTTGCTGCTGCAGCTTGCTTTGCTCGGCTCCTCTCCTGAAGCAAGCTTGCCGGGAACCACTTCCGTCCCCTCCCCGAACATCCGTCGTTTGTTCGAGTCGTAACGCTGCAGCAACCCTCTCTGCCAGTCGGTCAGCAGCTGTTCGAACCCATCGACGAGTCTTCCTCCAGACATCAACAGACCCATTATTCTTATTGTGCTGCTTTCACCGGTAGCGCTACTGTCGCCAATCGCCCAAAATGTCTGGCCCTCCCGCTGGCAACCAGCTCAACATTGATCGCTATGTTGTGATCCACGTCGCGACCACCTGCGATGAGCATGGTGTCTACGTCACCAAGGACTCTGCCGAGGTCATTGAGCTAGGATGGATTCTGCTTGACGCAAAGTCTCTCGAGGAGGTGAGCTTCATCTGCCTGCCCCGTCTTGTCTCAAGAAGGCCTCCACCATAACCCGCTGCCACCGTTCCTGAATCTTTGACTAACCCTCAATGTCTTCCAGATCACCCGCGAGAGCGTTCTTGTCAAACCCATCAACACTCCGATTACACCGTTGTGCAGTAAGTAGTTGCACGAGGCTTGAGACCTTATCTTATTTCCGTCACGCCATACAACGCCCCGTTCCTGCAGCGGTGACGACAAGTTGAAAATTCTCCAGCTAACATTTGCGTCTTTAGCGAGCTTGACGACCCTCACCTGGGAACATGTGCGCAACGCGGGAACCTTCCGAGACGCCATCAACCGATTTGACACGTTTGCGAACGAGCACTTGACCTCGCAAAATCTCGATTTCGTCTTCGTCACCCTCGACGCCTGGGATCTTCGCGTCCAGTTGCCCCGAGAAGCCCGAGACAAGGCCGTCGTTCTGCCTCCATACCTCCAGCACTCCCGCACTTTTGATCTGCGGACTGAGTACCAGCGATGGCAGCAACACCACCCCGAATCGCTGCCTTTTGGGCCCTCGATGCTGTCCAATATCTGTGCCGCCTTGGAGGTGGAGCCGGTCCAGTCCAGTGCTCCAATCAAGCACAACTTGCCCTTCCACCTCCAGGCTCTGGCCCCTGCCTCTCCTCGCCGTGCCATGGAGGAGGCCGTCACCTTGGCCCGCGTCCTTCGAGGCTTGATTCGCAAGTCGCAGCCTTCCCACGAGCACCCCGATGTCCTGACTCGGCCCATGGACGCGCGCGCCGACGTGCGTGCTTTCCTGTCTGAGCGCAGCAAGGTCCTCCACATGTCTGGTCTGCCTCATGATACTACTCAATCCGAGCTCGAGAGCTGGTTCACCCAGTTTGGCGGTCGTCCTATTGCGTTCTGGACCCTTCGTACCCCTGAGCAGCACAAGCCTACCGGCAGTGGTTTCGCCGTCTTCTCTTCCCACGAGGAGGTGAGTTAATTATTCATTTTTGCGCATGGCAAATCGGAGGATCGCAATTGCGCATTCACATTATCGCCAATTGGGCTTTTCTGAGCAGAAGACAACGCTCCCTAGCAGCCGAGTATTTTTGATCAATGCTGACTTCTGACCAGGCCGCTGAGAGTCTGTGCATGAACGGTCGCGCTCTTAACGAGAAGGCGATCGAAGTGTCACCGTCTTCCAGCCGTGTTTTGGACCGCGCCGCTGAGATCCTGACGCCCTTCCCGCCTAGCAAGAACCGCCCCCGCCCCGGCGACTGGACCTGCCCCTCGTGTGGCTTCTCCAACTTCCAGCGACGCACTGCTTGCTTCCGCTGCTCCTTCCCCGCCGTCAGCGCTGGTCCTACCGGCGACATGGGCTACGGTTACGGCTACGGCCCACCGGCCATGATGCCTCCTCCCCAGCACCACCATGGACACATGGGTCACGGCGGCGGTCGCATGGGCGGCAGCGGTGTCGTCCCCTTCCGTGCCGGTGATTGGAAGTGCGGCAACGAAGTTTGCGGATATCATAACTTTGCTAAGAACGTTTGCTGTCTGCGTTGCGGTGCCAGCCGTGCTGGTGCCGCTGTTGTCGCCGATTCTGGTGGTTACCCCTCCCCCATGGATCCCCCTTCCAACTACAGCATGAGCCAGGGCTCCATGAGCGGCACTCCTGGACCCGGACCGTTTGCTTCGGCCGGCGGTGGTTTTGCTTCTGGTGGCGGCTACGGTGGTCAGCACTTTGGCGGCCCCCCCAGCACTTATGCCCTTCCCTCAGGCATTGGTGGCGGCGCCGCTCCCTACCCCTCTCTCAACACTCACTTTGGACCGGCTCCTGGCTCTCACTCTGCCGGCCCTTTCGATAGCCGGGCCGCGGAGGCGGCTTTCCAGTCCGCTTCTAACGGCCCTGCGTCTGCCGGCCCCTCGAACAACTTCTACTCTCAGAACGAGAACGATCCGTTTGCGTTCCTCTCCAGCGGCATTGGAGGGCTTTCCGTGAGCGGCGGAGACGCCCGCCAGAACGGAGGAGCCGCGCCGCCGAGCAAGTCTCCTGCGTAAACTACACAACTGGATTTTGATAATCGAGATGAGCCAAAGTTTGCTACATTAGCTGGCTTGGAACGTTTTCAGCATGTGACTTACTGATGCGGATTACGCTTCGGAAACAAGACGAACATAGATCATTTGTCCTTATGGCAATCAATCACCTTCTGGATTTCAACCTGCGTTATTGGACGGGGGCGGGCAGGCATCGGATTTGGAAGATTAGGACGGGGTGTTGGTTGTCGGTATACCAAGGGACGTGGGAAAAAAGTTTGCAAAGGCTGGAAAGACAAAAAGAGTGTTACACTACCGGACGGGCTGTTGGAACTGCTTTCTCGCTGACAAGCGTCAGAAGCTATGGATTGTTTTACGGCCTCACCTTGATGGACGTTGCGGTTGTTGCTCGGTCGGATTTTGGGCGGTCCAAAGGGAGTGCATAGCGATGGGAGTAAGTAGTAAAAGGTATACCTGTCTGGCCTTCATCGTGTGCGAAGAAGTTGTCTATTTCCAATCATTTTCGTTTTCCTCTTTATCCGTCGTCTCTCCCTCTCTAAGTACAGTTGTCGTTTGAATTGTTATATTTATGCTGTCTTTCCGCAACATTTTTTTTTTTCCGAAAACAAAAACAAAACCACAAAATTCTCCATCTTGCTCATCACTCTCCTCCCTCTCTCAACTCCCTCTTTCTCCTTGGAAAAAAAGATTGGTTTGGCTTGGCATTTCAAACAGCACACCCCTTCCTTCCGCATTCGACATGGTTTTCTCTATACGGGTTGGATGGGCGGCAGCGTTGTGGGAGTCGGGGAGTGAAACAGGGTCCAGGGCAGGTTGGCTGGCTTTTGGCTTATATTCCTTTTTTTTATTCTTTCCTTTGCCATTTTTTCTCTCAAATAATTATCAGAGTCTCCGTCGGCATCTCTTTTCGAAATGCAAATAAAAGCTTCTTCTCAGCATACTTAAGATTCTGTTCCTTCCGCATTCTGATGTTTCCAATATTCTGACTACTGCCCTGGTGCTCTGATGCATGGGCTCGTCGATAGTCCTGAACCCCTGCGTGTGACGCATTTGTTTGTTCGTTCTTTTGTTCAACCATCACCGTGATTGAAATTGAGATGTCTGCCCCTGGAAATGAGTGTTCCTGGCATGTACGGCTTGGCAACAGGTATGGGCCCTGAGTCTGATGTTCCAACAATGTCCTTAATTTGTCACAGGAGAATGGCGTCGCCCTCTGATCGTGGGTTCTCACGAGGTATAACCTTTGCGCCAAGTTGTGGCCACACGTGTCACGGACACAGGTTTGAAGTGAGAAACAATGCAGCTGATTGGGAATCTGAATACATCTCCGTAGACGCCGGAACAAAAATGGAACCCTGAATTTATCACCGTTTTGAACCCCCTCCCAATGTGATTCTCGGCCAAATGGTTGCTATTACGCTTAAGTATGTTTGAGACTCCACCTTGCCTATCGGTCGATCTCGTCGAGAGGCAGGTCGCCGTCGTCCTTGCCGACGATGGAGTCGGCGACCTTCCAGATCTGGAGCAGGTTGTCCTCTGCGGCACTGCAGACGAGCCAGGGCTCGTTGGGGTTCCAGCTGAAGTCTGCGAGGTGGTTGGTGTGACCACCGTGCATGAACAGGCTGCGATCATGTTAGCTATTAGATGATGAGTAGACAGTGAGAGAACATACAGCTCCGGGGGCCCATCCTCCTGGTCGTCCGGCATCTGCTCCTCTCCGACGCGGGACAGATCCCAGAAGATGACACGTCTGTCGTAGCTACCGGAGCCGAGGATACCGGCCTCTTGAGGGTGCCATGAGAGCGAAGTGACCGCATCGTTGTGACCCTCCAGGGTGTGAACCTTCTCCTTGACATTGCGCAAATCCCAGATGCCCAAGGTCTTGTCAGCCGAGGCCGTCGCGACGAGGACTTCTGACGTGGGGTTGAAGGCGAGGGCGTTGATCGCATCCAGGTGACCGCGCTTGGCGACCACGGCAGCACGATCCGTCTGCTTCTGCCGCACGTCGATGATTTGCATCGTCAAGTCGTCCGAGACGGTTCCGATGAAGTTCTTGGCAATCGGGTGGTATTGGACATCGTTGACGATCTGGGTGTGGTGTGTGTATCTGCTCTGGGGCTTCAAAGTGTGGCTGCCGCTTTGCAGCTGCTTGAGGTCCCTATGAGTTCTTCGTTAGTCTCATTCACGTATTATGGCGAAAGCAGCGACATACCAAAGGCAAACGGTGGTGTCCTCACTACCAGAAGCCAGGCAGCCCGTTTCATGAGGGTTCCAGCTCAGGCCAAATCCTTCCTGCTTATGGCCAATGAGTTCGACCTGAGCGTTGACCTTGCCGTCAGGCTGCAGGCTGTGCTTCGTGCGATCAAAAACCAAGACCTTGCCATCGACACAGAGTGTCGCAATGATGTCGGGGTTCTGAGGCTGGTAGCGCGCCTTGTTGATCTCGCCAGGGTGATCAATCTTTTGCACGATGCTGAACTCCACTGCCGAAGACTCTCCATTCGATGACTTTGCATGCCCTCCAATCTCACCGGTCTCCTCATTGTAGTCGGCCGGGTTCGGGGTTGCGGACTTGGGGATCTTGACTTCGGCGATCTGGACGTGGTTGGGCAGTCCTTCGGATGTGTGGGTGCCGAGAAGCAGTCTGTGGATGCGGTAGTTCTTGTCTTCAGGCTCCTTCACATCGGGGAACCATTGTGTCGTGAGGGTAGGCCACTCAAGGGCGGTGCTGCACACATTGTCAGCTGGGGTAAATCGGAAGTCGGAAGGCTCTTCGTACCTGAGAATCATGTCGTAGAGAAAGGGGCTGTTCTTCTTCCAGGTCTTGTATTCTGAGGACGTCGTAAGCGGTATTTCCGGGAACATGTTCAATGAAATGCTTACCCTCATTGATGAGACGCTGCTCCTGGTCCTCATCCTCCTCACGATCCATTTCGACTGGTCAAGGGTCAGAAGCTGATGCGCTCAAGCTGGTTTGCGAAGCTTACCATCATGGTCGTCAACGACTTGAGCGGGCGCCATTGTGTATGCGTTCGTGAATGAAAAGATCGATCTCCTCAGCTAGGTAGTCAATGAATTCCTCGGTTGTTGTGTGCGCGGGGATTACGATTGTGCTGAGATAACCGGGCGTCAAGTCGGAAAGTTCTTCGCCAGCGCAAACGATGGTGGAGGAGGTTGACGCGAGATGGCCCGGGGGAACAACGCGCAGCGCGTAGATTGAATTTTAGTTGCAGCAGCAGGAGCAGGCCGGCCCGCGTAAGGGACGGACAGGCGCAGGCGCGCCCCGGCGCACCTGAAGGCTCGAGCTGTGACGCCTGCCACGCTAAATCGTAAGCGGCATGGCGGGAGCCAGAAGCATTCTCCCCACATTTTGTGCTCCGAACTGAAGCTGCCACCAGCCTCACCCTGGGAGGTCCACCCCGCCACAGCTGGCGGGGTGCTGAGGTGTGGCGCAGGCAAAAAGCGTTACGGCCTAAAGGTGTCCTGTAGAGTCACGCCGGTTCAGGGCCAAATGCAGTGATGACTTGATGGCGAAACCCCTGTGGCCACTAGTGCTACAGTGTTGTCCTGTGAGGTGAGGTGGTTATCCCACCTGGCCCCGCCACCGCCTGAAAGCTGGGCGCGGAAGTTCCTGCATCATCCAATCCATATCGATTGCGCCCATATCAACCTGGAGGCATCTGTCCAGCTTCACCTACCTCACCTTCACCTGCGCAACCCGACTTTCCCATCCCTTCCGCCCTCACACAGCTCGACAGCCGAGTTCCCTGTTCACCTGGCAGAATCGCAAACGCCTTGGTCTTACAACAGCCAGGAGTTTAATATTCTTTCACTTGTTCATTTTTCTTTTCCTGTTCCAAAGTCGCAACTAGCTTGCGACTGATTCACTTGGACTCCTGCGTCAGGACTCCCCTCGTGTCTGGAGAGAAAACATCGGTCGCTTTCAGCGCTGAGACGGATAGAGACTGCAGCATTGTCTCTGCGAATTATTTTCATCAATCAAAACTTCATCAACTTCATCATCACTAGCCGCGCTTAACTCAAGCGCGCACATCATCGCCACATCATGGGGTTGGTCCTACTTCTCGTCCTGCTCTGGCGCATTAGCTCAGCTCTGCTCACCACCTTGTGTATAGTGTTCCCAAGTTCTTCAGATGGCTCTCGGAGCGTTATCCGGCCATCTCTCAGCTAATTGCTGAGAATCGCATTCCCGAGTTCGACTGTCTTTACGTCCGTCTACCCCACCACCTCGCCATCGTCGAGTACGAGTAGCTGACAATTTCGGTAGCTGGATATGAACGGAATCATCCACAATTGCACGCACAAGGACACGGGCGAGGATACCACCTTCCGACTAAGCGAGGAGGAGATGTTCATACGCATCTTTAACTACATTGAGCACTTGTTTGGGAAGATCAAGCCGAAGCAGCTCTTCTTCATGGCTATTGACGGTGTCGCACCGAGAGCCAAGATGAACCAGCAGCGCGCCCGTCGTTTCCGAACCGCTCTCGACGCCGAGAAAGCCCGTGACAAGGCGATCAGCGAGGGTGTTGAGATGCCCAAGGAGCCTCCCTTCGACAGCAACTGCATTACCCCCGGCACCGAATTCATGGCGAAGCTTACCCAACAACTCAAGTATTTCGTCAACAAGAAGGTCTCCGAAGACGCCGACTGGCAGGGCTGTGAGATCGTTCTGTCTGGTCACGAGGTGCCCGGCGAGGGAGAGCACAAGATCATGGAGTACATCAGAAACGCCAAGGCGCAGCCTGAATATGACCCCAACGTCCGTCACTGCTTGTACGGACTCGATGCCGACCTCATCATGTTGGGTCTTCTCAGCCACGACCCTCACTTTTGTCTTCTTCGAGAGGAGGTCACTTTCGGCCGCCACAACAAAAATAAGGCCAGAGAGCTGGAGCACCAGAACTTTTACTTGATGCACCTCTGCATAGTCCGCGAGTATCTCGAGTTGGAGTTCCAGGAGCTTCAAGAACCTGGAA